GAAGTCTCTTCCAAAGCATCACGAACGAAGGTGTTATTCGCATCAATTCCGAAAATTCTATTTTAATCCTCGAACATGACACATTTAATACTATCACATCCAATCAGAACGGTGGCTGCGTATTTTTTAGTCCTGGTCACTCAATTTATCAAAGAGATACTTGCGCTCATAAAGTTTATTCAAGTACAAAAGCCAAATTTAGCTATGTTAAAATATCTCAAGCTTTAGAAAACGTGGATTACAATTTTATGATATCGATAACTGATTGTACACCTGACCCTGTGTCTGACATATTTTGGATTGGAGGCGGGAAAACATCTCTTTCAAATTATAATTCCACAAACAATTATGCAAGTTTTTCTACAGCATTTTACTTTGGAAATTCTGTTGGCCAAGCAAATGCATCGTTTATCAATGTATTATCAGGAACTGCTACATATAGTTCTCTTGTCTACTCTGACTCTAATTGTATTTTAAAACATTCGAATTTTTATAATAATAAAGTTAATGAGAAGACAGAATGCCTTTTGGCTGTACATGCATCAATTTTTGTTATAGATCATTGCGTTTTTGCTCAAAATTCTGCACAAATTTTCGCAAATAATAAAATATCTGTTTTAAGTTGCTCGTTTTACGAAAATTCATTTAGCTCGACATATCCTTCTATTCCTTATAGCGGAACGCATAGCTTCACTGTAAATACTCAGTGCCATATGTGGAAACACGACGACTGCATCAAAAAGTATTCTTGTGTATCACAATATTTCACAATAAACTCATTTCTATTCTCATTCTCCATTTTCATTCTTTTTCTTTAACCTAAAAGTATAAATTTTCTCAATCTTTTGAATAAATCTACTTTTTTCCTAAAAGGCATTCTCCATAATTGGCAAGTTTTTTTGAATATGGCAAGGCAAACTTTGAGACAAAAGTTATCTTGTATGATGCATTGAATCAACCCTGAAAGTTTCGTGGCCAACAATTCATTCTAGTGAGGTGAAACATTCATTCAAAGACCAAAAAAAAAGTTTTTTTTGTTGAAGAATGGGCATAGTATGCATTCTCAATTTGAACCATTGCCTAGATCAATGGGTGCGAAACTTGCAGGGATGATTTATGGTACTATGCATGCAATCTTTGCTCTCAAACTTTCCCAGGTTACATTCAAAATTCCCTTTTTCATAGTTTTCTTATGTTAAATGCATTCACGTAGAGTATACCATATAAAATGATTATTTCTCAACTCGAAAGAAAGGAT